TTTTTAAATGCTAATTAACAGATCCCCATTCCCACTGTTATGACTTTCTCTAGTGCTGCTAACTGTATTTTTCAAACTAAGATCAAACAAAACAAAGATCAGCTCATACCTTCCTCTACCAACTCTATTCTGCTTTGTCTTTTCCCATGTTTTGTGATCTTCTGAATAGTGCTTCTTGGATTGCTTTTAACCAGATCAAAGATTTCCATAAAATAAAAAGGAGAAAGCAGAATTAAAGGATGGTTCCTGGACGGTAAAATGCTAACTATGAAACTTGCAGTCGAGCTCTCCCCGCTCTGTGGAAGCTCCAACGTCTCACGGGGAGCCGATCCGTGGCACAGGGCGTGCGCTCGGCAGCGCTGGAGCTCACCAGCAGCTGAGCAGCCCGGCCACCACCTCACCACCTGGGTCGCCGCCCACACTGGCTGTCACGCCGATACCACGCGGGACTGCATTCCCATCCTGGCCCCTTCTCCTCTTTCCCCAGGAATACTAACTCACATTAGCTCAATCAATATTATCGTCTCAACCAATGCTTTCGGCGAACACAAATCATCTGATGCCAGGAAAATGAAAGTTTCACTGTGTAATTCTAGAAACCGGCAGCCACAAACGGAAAGCTAGTCTTTACTAAATTCTACATAATTACTGACATTCCAAAATAATTAGCACATGATTAATACCACGGATAGGGTTAGCAAGGGTGTTAGAAGAGAAATGAGGAACAAGATATATTTTAATTTCTCAAATAAATGTTAATATAATATTCGAAGAAGTTTTAAGGGCTTCCAAATTCACAAGAAGGATGATTAACAAAATGAAGTCTTTAAATATGGAGGAATATAGGCTGGGGATTTTCCTCAGTGGTTCTACCACCTTCCTTTCAAGCAAGCACAATGTCCTGAGTTCAATCTCCGGTACCAAAAAAAAAGAAAAGAAAAGAAAATATGGAGGAACAAATCTAACACAACATTTGCAAGCCCTCTTAAAACCAGAAAATATTACTGCTAGCAAATAAACAGAAAGGAGCTGGGGATTTAGCTCAGTGGCACCACACCTGCCTCTCAAGCACAGGGTCCTGAGTTCAATCATCTTTACCTCATACTACACACAGAAATAAATTTTAGATGAACTATTGATTTAAATCCAAAGATGTATCCAGGAAAAAAAAAAAACTTCAAAGGTTGGGGGTAGACCAACATTTCTAAAAACAGAACACAAAATATATTAATTATAAATGAAGAGAAAATTATGAGATTATATATAAATGTAATCTATTATCAAAAACCATTAAGAGTAACAAGATATCCAGTTAGAAGACATATTTGTAACACATTTAGCTGACAAAAAGATTCATATTTGTAACACATAAAGAATTTATGTAACACATAAAGTGGGAAAAAAGGGGCAAATTTTAAAAAGAGTAGACCAGATACTTTACAAAAGAAGATAGTCAACTGGATGATAATTATATAAAAAGGTGCTTGACATCCTCAGTCACTGGAGGAAAATGAAATGACAGGGAGAACAGTCATCAGAATGGCTACGTGACAAAGACAAACACTACTAAGCGTGGCCAAAAATACAGTGCAACACTGCTGGGAATGTAACCTAGCAAAACAACTTGGTAAAAATGGAAGTAAATTTATCAAAGTTGAGTGTCTACACAACCTTGCATCTTCAGCTTAGGTACATACTTAAACACACACGCTCACCAAAACACAGGCATAAAAATATTGACAGCACAGCTGTTGCAACCACTCCAAAGAGGAAACAACTTAAATGTCCTTTCTAATAAGCAAGGTAATTAAATTGTGGAACATTTGTAAAATAGAATACTATACAGTAATAAGAAAACGAACACTCCCACCCAGAAGATGAGTCTTACAAACACACTTCTGAGGGAAGGAGACCAGACGTAACAATCACAGTTCTATTTGATTCCTTAAACAGCAGTGGTATTCACAATCAGTACAGGAATTACCTGGCGTTTGTGTGTTGGAGTTGATCGGTGGGCAAAGCAGTATTAAAAGTGGTTTGGGAAGGGTTTCTGTCTACTAGTAACATCTAAATTTCAAAATCATGGGAGTGTTCACCTTATGATGATCCATCAAGCTGTATATCTGTAACGTGCACTTCTCTGTGTCCATCCATTAGTACTTCAATAAAAGGCTTAGAAAAGAAAAGCCAAGTTTTAGAGGGACAGCTCAAATTAGGTTAAGACAGCATCTACTGGGAGATTCGAGGGACTAGAAATAGAAATAAGCTGAATACGTCTGCTTCTTTTTCTTCTACTACTATCTTCTGCATCCTGTTCACTTCGTAAAGTCAGTGTGTAAGAACAAGCAAGGCCCACTCTCAATGTGAAAAGAACAACTTCCTCAGTCTCCTTAGAAAAAAGAGAGGAAAGAATCAAGTAAAGTAAGAGACCAATGTGGGGAAATATCAAATATCAAATGAGTGGTTCACTAGGTATTCTTCCCCACACCAGAAAATTAAGATCTAAAAGACCTTATAATAAAAGAACATTGACTTCATACGTACAGGTTCCTGCCTTTACGTCTCCAGCCAAAAAAGCAAAAGTAACCCTAACAGCTAACATGTTCAGCTCACCAGGGTAGCAGATCCCACAGATAAGGGACCACAGCCACGACAGGTGACACACAGGACGCATCTGCTTAAGAGTTTCCTCCGTGAGAGGGATGGTAGGAGGGTGGGGGGGGTGGAAGGGTGGATGGATGGATAGGCAGACATTTACCCGAGAAGCCTGGGACACTGAGGACTTAACTGGGACTGAGCAACAAATCCCAGCATAAAACTTGGCATGGCAGATACACAGTAAGTGACCAATGATGCAGAGAGACGTGAGCAAGTCACTTCTTCTCTCACAGAACAAACAACTCAGAGACCCTGGGTGTTAGGAAATTCATTTGTCACCTACTGCACATACTGTTTCTTTGCTGCTAAATTTAAACTGCAACAAAGACTGAATGATTTCCTGCACACAGAACTCAGCACACTCAGCACAGAGCTCTCCCAACTGAACTTGGCTCTCATCTCAGAGAAGGCACTGAGCACTGAGGACCGGATTTCACTGGTAAGAGGTGCTCTCCAGCTCCCTCTGCCCCACATAGAAATATTCAGCTTCCAGTTCTCAGGTGGGTCTCACTAGGGAATGACAACCCATACACACTGCATATTTTCCAGTCTCCAACCGAGCACACGGCAGGAGCAGGGTGGGTACACGTGGTTTAGATGGAGGCTCTGTCTGGAATACTCATCAACCACAGGAACAGGATGAGAAGGGAAGAGGCCTGGTGAGGATGACGGGCTGCTCTGCTTGGCACCACTGGCACCCGGAGCCCATCACTGCACACAGCAGCTGGGTAAACATGCACCAAGAGCCTCCAACACTTTCCTACCTTCCTCCTCCTAAACAGCAATGTTACCAATTTGTACCGCTCCTAGAAATCCAAAATCTACAGCACCAAATAAGGTGAGAACTGGCCAATCTCCTAACCTATCAGAACCAAATCATGGAGCAGGGAATGACAGAAATGCTTTTCAGAAAGGCCCAAAGTCACTTTCAAGAACCAGTGAGCTCAGTTTTGCTCACCTCCTGGATAATGTACGTTCTACACTGTAAAGAGGGTAGGAAATACAAAATTTGCCCAATATATACACTAATTTTCTCACACAATACACAGTAGGTGGTGATTTCTTCATACACAGTATTTCTAACAGCTAACATTTATTCAGCAGACTATGTGACAGACCCAGTACCTACCAAGCACTTCAAGGACACTACAAAGAAGACAATTTCAGTAAGAAAACTATTTTAAGAATTAAAGCCTGGTGTGGTGGCACACGCCTGCAGCCTCAGCACTCAGGAGCCTGAGGCAGGAGGATCACCATGAGTTCAAAGCCAGCCTGAGCTACATAGTGAGACCCTATCTCAAAAACAAAAACAGACAGAAACAAACAAACAAACAACCTGAAAAATACATGCTTAAATTCATTTCATTAGGCCCAAGATAAATCCTTATTGGAAAAAGACAAAAGAATCTTATTTCACTAATTATCTTAGGGGAAGAAAAAGGCAAGTACAAAGTGAGATTTAAACTCTGATGTTCACATCAAGAAAGAACTCTTAACACTGCTTATTTCACGCCTTCAGCAAAACTAAGAACAAACTTGTCTAAAGCATACAATTAAAAGTTACTCTTAAAAATAAAACAAGGATAAAGAACGAGAAAACAGATTCATTCATAGGAAAATGGATACATATTGAAGATATACTCCTAAGTGAAATAAATAAGTCACACATGTGTAAATACCGAATAGCTTCCCTGGTGTGAATAGTCTGCAGCAATGCATAAGATTCTAATAAGATTACTGACATTTAGAAATGGGAAGAAAAGAGCTAAAGGTGTAGGGAAGGTGGGATGGGTAGGGGAAGAGTAAAAAGGGAAAAGAAAAAAATGTGAGAGAATGAAAAGATGAAAATAAAGTGTAGATGGGGAGGGGAGGAGGGGGTGAAGGGAGGGCAGAGGTAAGGGGAAAAAATGAGAATCAAGACTTGTCATGTAGAGGTACAAGATCCCAACAATGAATGTAACTGTACTGTATCCCTAAAATGTACCAATAAACTCAATTAAAGCTGAAAAATAAAAAAATAAATAAAACAAGGGCCAGGGATTTAGCTCAGTGGCACCTCGCTTGCCTTGTAAGAGTAAGGTCCTGAGTTTGATCCCCAGTACCCCCCCAAAAAAAAAAGTTACTCTTAAAACCAGGGCCAGGAGGGCTGGGGATTAGGCGAAGTGATTCTGCTGCTTGCCTTGCAAGCGCAAGGACCAGAGTTCGATCACTGGTACCCACCAAAAACAAAACAAGGGCCAAGGATTTAGCTCAGTGACACCAACAAGCACAAGGTCATGAGTTCAATCACTGTACCAAAAAAAAAAAAAATTTTTTTTTCAATCCTAGAAGCCTCTTCTTACCTGAGCATGAAAATTGGACATAGTCGTCGTCTCTATATCTTTCTTTCCCATGATCTCCATTTTCACTGGTGAGTTGGGAAAGTTAAATGAAAAGTAGTCCAGAAGGTCAGGCAGGTAAGTGGCCGCCCCGTGAACAATCCCCATCACATAGAAAGCTGCCGAGCTCTCGTTCTCGCTGAACACCAGGCCCACAAACTCCTCCGCGAACCTCTGCATCTCCCCGGGAGAGAGGTGGGACAGCTCGCTGCTGTAGGCGTGGACCACGGAGGCGCCCCCGTTGGGCTGGTGCTCGACATGGATAAGCTGCCTGAACTCCAGCGTGTCCAGCCTCTGGAGCGTCTTCTCCACGCGGGGCTCCTTCAGCGAGACGAACGGGAACTCGCTGTTCTCCGGAACCCTGGGGTCGCAGCGCTTGGCGTCGGAGTTCTTGGCCCCATAATCCTTCCCGTGATCGCCCAGGCCGCATTCGGCTGCTTCCTCTCCGACATCGGACAGCAGCCCTGAGCAGATGGTCTGAATGGACTTGCTGTACATTTTCGGACGCTTCCGTTTCTCATTCTCTTTGTGTTTCTTTTTCTTTTTTTTCTTTACCTTTTTAATTTGTAAGTCTTCTACATTTGTTTTTGGTTTCTCCTTCCCACCTGTTGGGAAAAAGTTTTTTGAAACGTTATTTTTTTGCATTAGTTTAAAAAAGTTTACTTTAGGAATTATTCTGTAATACATATTTACTTCTGATACTTCTGAAAATTTGCTCAGAATCAGTTTTCTACTTGGGTTTTAAACACTATTAATAACTAAATCAAATCCAGTCAATTCTTTCATTCTCTGCAGGCGCGTGCGGGCGCGCACGCACACACACACACACACACACACACACACACACACGACGGCCGAGGACCAAGTTACACCTACTGATGCAGGCTACCATTCTGACATACAACAGAGGCTCAAGCAGGGTTACAAAAGCAATGAGATGATTGAATGTTTCCATAGCAAGACCATGAGAAGGAAGTTTAATGTTATAAACTGTTACTCCTAAAAACTCATAGAAGAGATGAATCCACAGGTATGCAATGAAGAACAAAACCATTATCATGAAAAATAAAAGCAGAAATCTGACCAGGAATGGTGGTGCATGCCTAGAATCTCAGCACTCTTAGGAAGCTGAGGCAGGAAGACCTCAAGTTCTAGCCCAGCCTGGGCAACTCAGTAACTTAGTGAGATCTTTTCTCAAAATTGAAAATAAGATAGGTGTACTGGTGCACATCTGTCATCCCAGCATTCAGGAGGCTGAGGCGGAGGATTGCTGAAAGTGTGAGCCTAGCCTCAGCTACACAGTGAGCTCAGGGCCAGCCTGAAGTACAGAGAAAGACCCTGTCTCAAAAACAAACCAAAACAAGACAAACAAAACAAAACAAAACAAAAATTGAAAATAAAAAAGGGCTGGTAATATAGTTCAGTATGAAGGTCTTGGGTTCAATCCTTAATACAAGAAAAGAAAAAGAAAATCTGTCAACATTACATAGTTTCTGAAGTTATAAAAATCAAAATGTTAATTCTTTAAAGTCTACCTATATAGGGCCGGGGATTTAGCTCAGTGGTTTCGTGGCCTGCCTTGCAAGCTCAAGGACCCGAGTTCAATCCCCGGTACCAATAATTAAATAAATAAATAAATAAATAAAGTCTTACCTATAGATAGTTGAGAAACACATATGAGTAAGTATACTTATATATAATATGGATATATACATAACAGATATATAAGTATTCATATCAATTTATAGTTATACCAAAATATTGGATTCAGGTCAGTATCTTAAGAACAAAATTAAAAAATAAAGAATGGACTAACATAAATGACAGAGGTTCACATATGTAGATAAAACTCAAATAAATTAAGAAAAAAGGTAACAGTGGAATAGAAAACAATTGTAAAAAGTTGAGAGATAAGTATGATTGAAAGCATTCTTAAACTTTAAAGTACATAAAATTGCATAAATTAAATTATGTAAATTTGCCAAAATACACAAAACCTCATTTGCACAAAATGTTTCATATCTTTCTATAGTCACACCCTGTGGGAATCATGACTATTAGTTGTAAATATTGTTAACTTTAGTAACTCCATGTTTGTTAAATTTCTCCAGTTTAAAAGGTGGTGTGTTTCCTTTGTGGAATTCCTGAAAGTTACAGTTTCTTGTCTCTGACCTTCAGATGTGTGGTTGTCCGGGTTACTACTACCCACCGCGGTTGTTTTTGTTGAGCCTGTTTGCTCTTTTCCTGTGTGAACTTTCATTTGCTATGGTAACCCCATCCCATAATAGTTTGTGG